TCCTTCCTTCCTTCCTTCCTTCCTTCCTTCCTTCCCCTCTCTTTCTCCTTTCTCTCTTTCTCTCCACCCAACACGGGGCTGGAGCTCACGACCCCGAGATCCAGAGTCACACACTCTGCTGACTGAGCCAGCCAGGGGCCCCACGAATTCACTTCTCATGCCCAGGGATTCCCAGCTCGGTTTTGGGACCCGTTCAGGAGGATTTCAGATTCTCAAGGAATGTCACAAGAATCTCAAAGCAAGAGAAATTCCGATTGTGACTTACCCACGCGGCGGGTCGGGAAGAGGTTGTCGGGTAAAGCGGGGCCTTGGGTCGGTGCAGCTCTGAAAAGACCGGACGGCCGGTCCCTGCCCTCTGACGGGCCTGGCCGTCTCGTGCTTCCTCAGAGACCCACGGACCGAGGTGGGCCGCCCCCGTCCCCCTTCCCTAGTGTGACCCTAGGACTAAGTGTCTTGCTTGTCTGCAGACAAAGACCCTTACAGCTTTGGGAGGACGACCATCGCAAACCTGCAGACGGAGTGAGTACGGGGTGGGGGCCAGGGCTTCGCGGGCACTGCCCGCCCCGGGCAGTACTGCTGTGGGGGGTGGTTAGGAGACGTGGAGGGCCCGGCCCCCCCCCAAACCCCACCCGGTGTGGGAGCCGGGCCCTGATGGCAGGTGTCCCCGCTCAGCGATGACCTCCTTTGGCTGCACACCGTCTTTGCCGTCATTTATCTCCTCCTCACCGTGGGCTTCATGAGACACCACACCCGGTCCATCCAGTACCAGGAGGAAAACTCGGTGAGCGAGGCGGGGAGGGTCACGGGTGGGGCCAGAGCGGAGCCTTGACCCGGCCTGTTGCCAGCACACGGGAGCCGTGCACTTAAAGAGGCCTCTGTGGGACCTGGCTGGCCTGTTTGTGCTCACGGTTGACTTCAGCTTTTCGTTCATTCGTTTGTTAATTTTTTTTTTATTTCATAAATTTCTTTTTGTTTAGCGTTTACTTGTTTTTGAGAGAGACAGAGACAGAATGCGAGTGGGTTAGGGGCAGAGAGAGGGGGAGACACGGAATCCGAGGCAGGCTCCAGGCTCTGAGCCGTCGGCACAGAGCCCGATGTGGGGCTCGAACCCACGAACGGTGAGATCGTGACCCGAGCTGAAGTCGGACGCTCAACCGGCTGAGCCACCCAGGCGCCCCAATTCATTTGTTATTTTTAAGGTTTTTATGTGTTTATCTTTTGAGAGAGAGAGAGGGAGAGATAGCACGAGCAGGGGAGGAGCAAAGAGAGAGGGAGAGAGGACCCCAAGCAGGCCTTGCCCTGTCAGCACAGAGCCCGATACGGGGCTCGATCCCACGAACCGTGAGATCGTGACCTGAGCCGAAATCAGTGGTCGGACGCTTAACTGACTGAGCCACCCAGGTGCCTGACATTAGCTTCTAAAATTT